ATAGGGAGGTATAGTGGTTAGATGGGATAGGGTGGTATAGTGGTTAGATGGGGTAGGGTGGTTAGATGGGGTAGGGTGGTATAGTGGTTAGATGAGGGTAGGGTGGTTAGATGGGGTAGGGTGGTATAGTGGTTAGATGGGGTAGGGTGGTTAGATGGGGTAGGGTGGTTAGATGGGGGTAGGGTGGTTAGTGGTTAGATGGGGTAGGGTGGTTAGTGGTTAGATGAGGTAGGGTGGTATAGTGGTTAGATGGGGTAGGTAGTGGTTAGATGATGTAGGGTGGTATAGTGATTAGATGAGGTAGGGTGGTATAGTGGTTAGATGAGGTAGGGTGGTATAGTGGTTAGATGAGGTAGGGTGGTATAGTGGTTAGATGGGGTAGGGTGGTATAGTGGTTAGATGGGATAGGGTGGTATAGTGGTTAGATGGGATAGGGAGGTATAGTGGTTAGATGGGGTAGGGTGGTATAGTGGTTAGATGGGATAGGATGGTATAGTTGTTAGATGGGATAGGGTGGTATAGTGGTTAGATGGGATAGGGTGCTATAGTGGTTAGATGGGATAGGGTGGTATAGTGGTTAGATGGGATAGGGAGGTATAGTGGTTAGATGGGGTAGGGTGGTTAGATGGGGTAGGGTGGTTAGATGGGGTAGGGTGGTTAGTGGTTAGATGGGATAGGGTGGTATAGTGGTTAGATGGGATAGGGTGGTATAGTGGTTAGATGGGATAGGGGAGGTATAGTGGTTAGATGGGATAGGGTGGTATAGTGGTTAGATGGGGTAGGGTGGTATAGTGGTTAGATGGGGATAGGGTGGTATAGTGGTTAGATGGGGTAGGGTGGTATAGTGATTAGATGAGGGTAGAGATGAGGGTAGATCGTGGTTAGGGATGTAGATAGAGGTTAGATTGTATACGCTAGTGTTTAGAATGGAATAACTAGTGGTTATATGGGGGTAATGCTATTTGTTAAAATGAGGTGGTGGTTACATGGGGGAAGCCGGTGATTAGCGCGATTAGATTTCATAAATAGTGGTTAGATTGGGTACTGCTAATTCTCCCTTTCGTAAAGTACTATGCCAACGTCCCAGACTATTAAAACCACGACACATCTCTGACCTCTGATGTACGTCACGACCGACAAGTGAAAAACAGACGGCTGAGACAGCAAAACTATTCCATATTGACCCCTTTGATGTCATAGAGCTATGAGAATCATCGACACTAATAGGAAAACGCCGAGGTATTCATCAGAAAAAAAAGATCGATGTTTTCATCAGAGGAAAACTTTGAGGTATTCAACAGAGGGGTGGGGGTGGGGGGGGGGGTTGGGTGGGACACTGGTAAAAGTATGGGGGGGGGGGGATAGACTCTTTTTCGGGTGGGGGGGGGGGGGGGGGGGGGGGGGGGGGGGGGGGGGGGGGTCGCCAGTTAGCCCCCCCCCCCCCCGAAAAATTCTACCGCCCCCCCTCCCCCCGAACGAAATTTATATAATTATATAGAAAAATATATACTTTTAACAGTGTCCGCCCCCCCCCCCCCCCCCCCGAAAATCTCAAGTGCCCCCCCCCCCCCCCCCGGAGAAAAAAGTCTGGAAGAAACACTGAGTAGGTCTAGCATGACGTGTATACACAAAATGTCTGATTGTCAACGTCCCTACCAGATTTTACGTAACAATTCTAGCATTACACAACGACGCTGTTTTTTCAACCGGTAAGTAATGTTGATTTTGGACAAGCATTTTTTTTTTACCGCCTCACAGTAAAACTAGGTCAGACCACCCGATTAAAAAAAAAAACCCAGCTGGTTGTACGGCTAGCCATGAGAGAGTGACAGACACTAGCTCTTGTAATTTCGCCAGACAATTCAGGTCAACGGTATTTTTTTCCCCTTTTCTATCTGAACCTAGAGTGGGGGACCTGTGTTAGTAGAGAGCGAGCAGCACAGCAAAACAAGTTAGAGATAGCAGTGATGTGTCGTTGTTGATCAGCTGTTGACGAGCGGCGCACGTAACCCACCAGAACACAACAGAAACATGGTCTGTGGCACGGTTTTGTAAACTTACGCAGCTGAGATCTTTTAGTGAGTATATTAGTTTAGTTTTAGAGAGACATTAGATACTAAAGCTTTGGCAATAATTTTTGCCATCTTTGCAATTAAAATTCAATTCGTTATTTTAACTTACTTATTTTAATGATTTAAAATGTGTTGTTAAGAGTTAAGAGCTTAACCCTTTGAGGACCAAGGGACACCGGTGCTTATGGACTATTAATTTAGTTACATAATTAAATATTCAATATAGATCTAGATCTAGTCATCAGTCATATAACTCCATCTTCTTGTTAGACTTGTTAAGCAGGTAGGCCTATATATTTATTTAGTGAGTTAAAATGCTAGGCATACAACCCCATTTAGACGGATAGTTCAGAATTTGGCCTAATATTATTATTAAGAATAGAATCTAGATCTAGATCTAGTAATAATTATTTTATTACACACTACACAGATTTAAAAATTGAAAGGATTCTACAATCTACATTCAGTAGCGCACTATAAAATATCTGTGGAAAAATACACGAGACAAACATTCGTGTTTACAATTTCAATGCCAGAAGTTAAAAATATTTTTTTATCGTGGAAATGCGCGGTCAGTGACCTATTTGTTTCAAATACATACACAATAATACACATGTAAACAACGCTCTTTTAACCGTGTAGTAGAGCAAATCAGACAATTTTAATCCTAGTTTTTAATTTTTTTTTTCATTTTCGTTAAAAAAAAGGCCCTACTGAAAAAAAACCATTTCTGTATGCTCTGTTTAAAAAAAAAGTAGATCTAGATATAGTATTTGTAAGGCAAATCCTAAATATTACATAAAATGGTTAATGAGCTTTTACTTTCCAAAACCACTTTAAAGATAGTAGATCTAGATCTAAATGAAACTTCATGCCAGTGTCTGTGTGTTGGGGGGGGGGGGGGGGGGGGGGGGGGGAGAACCCTGTTGTCAGATAAAGAGCAATGTGTGTGGAGGTGGGGGGGGGGGGGGGAGAGAATAGATAAGAGATGACACTGTATTTTATGATTGTTAGAGAGATTTTGTTAAAAAAAAAAAAGTATTGCACCATTTTTACATTTATTTCTTTGAAGAAAAAAAATATCAAGTCATCAGTTTGTTGAAGTTCTAAGTCACTTTGGTGTGTTAATTTTCAACCAGAGAATTGAAAAAAATAAAATAAAATTTGCCAACCCCAAACTAAAATCTATCATTTTTTACTGCATAAAAGATGTTGATAAATATAAATGATTTGTGTTTAAAGTAATAAGTTATTTAATAAGTAATATGCTTTAGTATAAATCAGACAACAGTTATTCTCTTCAAGTTAACTTCCATGTACTAAGCATTGTATTCTCACTGTAGCCACACCCCTTCCCCCCCCTTCCCCTCCATGAACACATGTCCAGGTAACTGACATATAAAAATCTTCTTTCATGTCTACCCTCAGGTAAACTGACCAACAGGGTGATTTTATGCCGCGCCAGTTACAGTGTCGAGGCGCCAAGGTCGGAGCCTCCATCACCTGTTGTGGTGACCCCCATACCTGGCCCCAAGTCACAAGCTTTAAAGCAGGATCTGGATCAAATCCAGGTGAGATGTAGGCCTGTTACAGAAGTTGGCATATGACAATAATAAGCTAAAATAAAAAGCCGTTTTTTTACTAGTCTGAATTTAAATTAACCCACAAATAATCAAGGCATTCTAAAAGTACCACATACTGCCACATAGGGATTGTCCATAAATGACATTGGGTTAGTAGGCTCGTGACTGCTAAACCTAAAGTCTTAAGTTTGTTTGATGTCTCTGAGTTCAGCCAGCTCTAATGGGTACCTTACTCAAGTTAAGGAAAATAGTAACTGACCCCCAATATCCCTTTATTGCTGGGGTCACAAAAACAGATAAACTCTACTTCACCTCTCATGTTGACCAACCGTTCGGAATGGGTGACATTGCACATATAAAGAGGATAGGGGGAGGACTAGATTACATTATTTTTGTTGGGAGCAGGGAGGTGTTTGACTTTTTGTGATGGTTGGTGCTGACTGGGGTAAAAATCTGCTCCAATGTGTAGCATTAGTTAGAGATGCCCCAGCAGGAACTGTTTCTTTTTAAATAATGTATGAAATAACTGTAGGCAAGGCCATACTTTATATGCTAATATTATTACATACTAAATCTGTAGAAATAACTAAGTAAAATAAATAATGTTATACCACAACCATGACTCAGATACCAATAAAACAAATGCTGTTTTTGTTTATCATTAACCTTTAAATGTTTGAGTTTATTTTTGTGTTTCCACACTGCAGTGCACTAAAGTATCTTAGTGTTTCTATCTAGAATACAGATGCTGTGCAGTTTTTTGCTGACTATGAGAAAAGTTATGGAAACTATATCTGTGATGTGGATGGGAACTTTCTATTGGACCTGTACACACAGATAGCCAGCATTCCCATTGGTCAGTTCTGTTAGTGTGTATTTGTAATAGCTCAGTGTAGCTCCTAGTAATTTTGAAATACTTCTAATCAAGTGCAGGCTATTAGTTATAAAATATGTTAATGAGATGTGTTATAAGTTTACTAAGAGCACATTTGTTCTTATTCTTAGTCCATGAGTTGATGTTTTTACAGGCTACAACCATCCAAGGATACTCAAGGTGTTGACAAATCCTGCAAATTTGGTGAGTTTTAATGCAAGTTTTCTTTTGTCTAGAGCGTAAATGTTGTCTTATACTGTAATGCTGTTGATTAGGTTAAAAAAAATCATTGATCATTAAAAATGCAAAATTGGAAGTTTCTTTGTAACATATCCTCCTGAAATTGGAATTTAATGACTTCCCTCTGTTAACAAATCTTTTGATAAACTTTAGCCACTTAAGCCTTAGATTGTCTTACTATAATACAATAAGCAGTGTTGGTTCAAAGATTTGAGTTAGTTTCTATAAAACTCTGTTTAGCCACTTAAGCCTTAGATTGTCTTACTATAATACAATAAGCAGTGTTGGTTCAAAGATTTGAGTTAGTTTCTATAAAACCCTGTTCCAAACCACACACAAACTCAAAATAGCAGTTCAAGATAGTTTTCTCTGTTGAGTTAGATTCGGAGTAAGGTTGTGTTAGGATCTGGTATTCACATCAGATTCAGTTGATTAAAAGTTCTTCTTTGTTTTAGTTATTTCTTTAATCCCAAGCCAAACATGCCCTACTTGAAGCATTATGACTTCCCTGAACTGTTTGTCCACTATGACCGCAGGTTTGGTCCATGTATGGTCAGCCTGCACTCAACTGGTTCATGTGTCTGCTCTCAGTGTTTTCACACATGTGATCTTGCATGCTATTGATAATGTTCAGTTTGCTCCCTTGTTTAAAAATAAAATGTGAAAATATCTCAAAATTCTCATTCTGTTATAACCTAACAGAATTATTTGAGTATTTTTAAAAATTTGTAATGCTGGTTATTTATTTATTAAACAAAGCAACTCGTATATAAAAAAAAAAAGTAAAGTTTCCCTTTCAAACCTGACGGTCTATGGGGCAAGTAGAAGTAGAGTTCACTTGTTTCTGTGACCTCGGCATATGAAGAGATAGTGTGGACAGCACTATGCCCAGCCGCCTTTACTTTCCCTAACGTGAGTTAAGTACCCATCAGAGTTGGGTGGACTCAGAGACGGTCTACTGAATGGAACCCGGATTTGAACTCGAGACTTACGGGTTAGCAGTCCAGCTCTCTACCGCTAGACCACTCTGTCCCACAACTCGTATATTATTAGCACTTAATTACCCGTGAGATTTTTGCTTTTTTGTTTCATTGTGAAAATAAGTGTAACTACCAGGTCACTTGAATAATTTTTCTTGGTAACTGATACGTGTAGCTAATGGTCCTCCTCATTAGAAAGTCAAATTAGCCTCCATGAGTAGTGTATAAAAAATAATTAAATAAATTATCTACACATATATGTTTTTAAGTGAAATAAACTTTAAATAAATTTAATTTCTGTTTATCCATTAGTCATTTGAAAAGAATCCAATTTTTTTTCCATCATGTGTTTATAGCATAAGATTGTCAAGAGATTGTTCAGTGTATTACTCACTTTGCCATTTGAATGTGTTTCTAAATAGTTGCACATTTTCTTATGATGTTCTGCATATATTGTAATAATTTGTTACTTTTCAATTGGGTGGGGCTTGTTTATTTAGAGTTCTTCTCACTTGTTATATCTTTATGTTGTGTGATTTTTGTATTTGGTGAAAGAACAAGAAAAGTATGATATATATATATATATATATATATATATATATATATATATATATATATATATATATATATATATATATATATATATATATATATATAAATCTTTTTTAGTCATTTTCTGATTAACCCATAATACACATGGGGGGGGGGGAAGGTGTATTATGGGTTAATCAGAAAATAATACACATACTCAAGGAGTTGCACTCATGCTATCAAACCAAGCACAAAGGGCTCTCATTGGATGGGAGGCACACTGCCCGCGGATCATAACAGCTACCTTTAAAACTAAAATAAGACGAATAAACATGGACATAATACAGGCCTACGCCCCAACAAATGACAGCAAAGAGGAGGACAAAGACGAATTCTACAACAGGCTAATGACCATTATCCAGAACCGCCTAAGAAGAAACATTCTTATACTCATGGGCAACTTCAATGCTAACATTGGAAGCGACAACAGAGGATATGAAGAATGTATGAGATAGCAGGGTTTAGGTGAGATGAACAAAAAACGGAGAAAGATTTGCTGACTTGTGTGCCACAAGTAATTTTGTAATTGGAGGTAGTCTCTTTCATCACAAAAGGATACATAAAGCTACTTGGGTATCACCCGACCTATCTACAGAAAACCAGATAGACCATATATGTATCATAAAAAAGTTCAGGAGATCACTTCAAGATGTACGTGTCAAGAGAGGAGCTGATGTTGCTTCAGACCATCACCTACTGGTAGCTAAAGTAAAACTCAAGCTAAAGAAAAACATGTTGGAAAACAAAAGGAAATACAGATACAACACAGGCCTGCTTAAGGACCCCTATAAACTCAATGAATTTAAACTTCATATGTCCAATAGGTTTCAGGTACTACAAGAACTAATAGAAGAAGAGACGATAGAGGAAACATGGAAAAAAACTAAAAACATATTAACATCAACATGCAAATAAGTGCTAGGCCCTATCAAAAGACAAGCTAAGGAATGGATTTCAGCAGATACTATGAAAATTATTAAAGAGAGAAAAAGAAAGAAGGCAACATTAAACAACAGTCGCACACTGGCTGCTAAATTAAAAGCACTGGAAGAATACTCCGAAACAAACAAAAATGTCAAGAAACACATAAGGAAAGACAAACGGAGTTATTTGGAACTGCTGGCAAGAGAAGCGGAAGAAGCACTGTACCATGGTAATATTAGGGACGTGTAGAATACAATTAAGAAAAGATAAGTACAGTAAGCCAGAGAGGCCAGTGAAGACCAAAGATGGAAAGATAATACCTGATGCGGAAGGAGAGATGAAGAGATGGGCAGAACATTTTGAAGAACTACTGAATAGACCAACACCAGAGTGCATGCAAGATATACCACCAGCTGAAAGTGACCTCCCTATGGACTACAACCCACCTTTAAAAGAAGAGATACATAAAGCTATAAAGCAGCTGATAAATTGGAAGGCTCCAGGAATAGATGGTATACCGGCAGAAGCACAGACAGCAGATATAGAAACTAGCACCACACTACTATACACATTCTTAAAAAAAATCTGGCAAGAAGAACAAATACCAGGAGTGGAAGGGGGGACTACTCATAAAACTTCCAAAGAAAGGCGATCCACAAGGCAGGAGGAGGAGAGGCAGACCAAGAAAGACCTGGAGACGTGACCTGGAAGAAGCCAAGAAGATTGAATGCACCTGGGGACAGTTGGAGAGACTAGCCCTGGACAGTGACGTCTGGAAGGCTCTTGTCAGGGAAGGCTCTTGTCAGCGGCCTATGTCCCAGTAGGGACAACAGGCAAGCCTAACCTAACCATAATACACATACCAAGATACTTGATGAAAAGGGCATAATTAAAGAGATAAGCTAAATGTTAATGCACCAAAACACATTTCTATTGGGGCTGTACAGATGAGCCAGGGTTTTGCTGAATGGATGAGCCTTTGTGTACTTTACTGTTGTCAGCCATGTGTCTATTTAACATTTTGGTAGTGGATCTGGATCTATATTAAACGCATTCTTTTGTGTCAAAACATAATTATTCCCAAGTAGGGTCTATTTATAATCCAGCTAGAGTCCTATAGATTTATAGAACAATAATAACAATGCAGTTTCACATGTTCACAAATAAATAATTCAATACAGCTAATAGTTTTCTGTTTCAAGTAGAGTTGATATTTTATTCTAAAACTTTTAAAATATAAAGCTTAGGCAAAAAGTCATACAAGGTATTTAATATAGATGTTTAATATTATTTAAGTTTTTTTTTTTTTTACAACTGCAGGTGTTTTTATTTTAATAACTTTTAAAGAATTTATTTGTAGGTTATATCCCTTAGTTAAATAGAATTTATAAATGGGAAGTAACCAAAATAAATTAATATCCTTTATCAAACAATCTAAACAAATTTTTTTGGTGCATTGTACATTCTACTATATTGATGATTTTAAAATGCGTTTTAATGTATGAATATGTTTACAAAAAATGTTTAATCTTTTAGTGACACTGAAAAAGTGTAATCTGTACCTATTTTCTTTTACCACTGTGTAGTCTGGTTATAAAGATTTTATTTGAAACTAGCAGCACGAAAGAATGTATTTGCATAAATACTCGCATAATTTTTGTGGACACTGTATAATATTTGGGTGTAGGATTTTACCCTTATCAATTACACCCAGTCATTATCCCCTTTCTATCATCCCCTATCACTGATATTACCTCCCCTCTTGAGAATACATAATATTTTCTTCTTTGCCGAGGGATTCTCTTTAGTGCTAAATAGGTAACTAGCAATGCATAGAATAAGTTAACTCCCTCTAGTAAATTTCTTAACTTAAAATCTAACCCTAACCTTTAAAGTTAAGGTTAGGTTTAGGGTCAATTTGTGATCAAAAAGTAGGAATAATTTCCTGCTTCAGTTTTCTGTGCACAATTTTGGCTACATGGTCGATCACTGTCTTGTTTCAGATAGAACATCAATTTCTATTGACATAAGCATAAAATATGCATCTGGTACTAGGGTTAGTTAACTAACTAGTATATTATTGGACTGTTCCTGCTGGCCCACTAGCCCCATGGCCTCTGCGACCCACCATGATGTTTATTTGTGTCTCTGTGAGCAAGCATAACTTCTCTATTTCTGCTATCTTTCTCTTACCTTACACAAGGGCAGACTACCTGTCTCTTCTAAATTTATTTTTTCATTTAAAAAAAAACATGATTACCTGAAATTAACTTCCAATAAAAAATTTTTATTAAGCATCTCTCCATACCTTTTTTAGTTGCCTAATTTAGCTGGTGGTCTAGACTATGGGGGGGGGGGGTGTTGGCCTTTTTTTCAATCATGTTAGGTTTATAATGCTGCTTGTCTGATTGTTTGGGTATGCATATGAATTTGCATTGTTAAAAGTAAAGTTCCCTATTAAACCTGACGGTCTATAGGGCATGGGAAGTAGAGTTCACTTGTTTCTGTGACCTCGGCATATGAAGAGATAGTGTGGTCAGCACTATGCCCAGCCGCCTTTACTTTCCCTAACGTTGGGTGGACTCAAAGACGGTCTACTGACTTGAATCTGGTTTTGAACTCAAGACTTACGGGTTAGCAGTCCAGCTCTCTACCCCTAGACCACTTAGTCCCCAATTTGCAATGTAACCTTTACTATATTATATTACTTGTATCTGTCCTCTTAAGCATGACATCTCACATAGGACCTATCACTAGCTATTTATTTTGTATTTCTTTAACTAGGCTATCAACTTATATTGCTTTAAGAAATAAGTACAGATTTATGTATGGCTGTGCTTGCTTTTAGTAAACAATGTGCGGGTAGTAAGTGATGACAACTGTTGTTAACACTAGAAAGTATACCTTATTCGAGGCCCACTCATGTGAATGACCCATATTAAAATGAGTTGCATTTGATAATTTAAAAAAAAATGAAAACAATTGTGTTATACTTGTTTGTATTTTACATTTTCATGTGAATTTGAAACAATCATTTTATATGCCTTGAATATTTAACTGAGTTTTAATGTTTTGTGTTAAATAATTTACTCTTATTTTTTTTTCATTACAGAGCACGTTTGCTAACAGACCTGCACTTGGAGTTTTCCCACCTTCTGCTTTTGCCTCAGATTTAAAGGAGTCTTTGCTTTCAGTGAGCACAATTTTTGTTTCTCATTCTTTAAGTGATTCATGTTTATTTTTACCAATCATTTTTATTTCTTTCTATTCACATTGTTCTCTACATTATTTTGCTTGTAATGCTCGTACCCGATCTATATGCTTAGCTTTGCATGAGTTGTGCAAAATTTAAAAATTAGCAAAAATTGTAACAAATGGTTATATAATATACTACATTATTTTATATGGGTTGTAGTGTAATATTAACGTAAGCATACAAGTTTATAGTATAGATGAACTTAATTTCTTGGGTAGGCCTATGTAAATTTGTTGGATCTATTAACGAATGATTAATCAGTTGGGTAAATAAATATAATGCTTTTTATATTTCTTTTTTATTAAATTGAAACCTGCAGGCCTACATGAAATGGATTGGCCTTTTTCTAAAAATCAGTGGCAGATTGTTATATTATCTGCTAGATAATTTTATATTATTTTTTATGAGTATCTATATAGTATTAGTCTGTATATTATTAATCTGCTTAATCTTTAAGCATATAACGTATAGATTACCTTAATTTAAGTAAATAAATGCAGAATACTTATCATATTTCCTTTTGACTAAATTGAAACTTGTAAATGAAATGGATAGCCCTTTTCATCATAGAAGTTTAGCTTTTTATTGATAAACACAAAATTGAAAACAATTTTTGTATCTGCTTGTAGGTGGCTCCACCTGGTTTGAAGCAAGTCCAGACCATGGGTTGTGGGGCTTGTTCTATTGAACATGCTCTGAAAGCTGCATTCATGGCCTTTAGAGTAGGTATAGTATAGTATAATGTTAAGTTGTTGTCATATTGATTTTACACAGGCTGTGGATTTAGCATGAAGTCTACAGCCATCATATTAATTTTACACTTACTGTGGATTATAGTATACTGTAATTAATCAACTGATGTCATATTAATTTTAGACTTATTGTGGATAGCATAAGGAAAATCAACAGCCATCGTATTAATTTTACACAAGCTGTGTAAAATAGAATACTAGGCTATAATTCAAGCCTACTGTGGACCTATACTTATTGATTTTACACCTACAGTGGATTTTAGAATAGTGTTATTAAAGTCTAATTCGGACTTCTTATTTTTACACATACAGTAGATTTAAGAATAGTGTAATTAAAGTCTACTTTGGACTTCTTACTTTTACACATACAGTAGATTTTAGAAGAATGTAATTAAAGCCTACTTCGGACTTATTTTTACACATACAGTAGATTTTAGAACTAAGAATAGTATAATTGAAGTCCACTGTAGCACAAGTTGTAGTTCTGTTTTTCCAGCGAAAACAAAGGGGAGGTAAGGCCCCATCCAAAGAAGAGCTAGAGTCAAGCTTGTACAATACTCCACCAGGCAACCCTACTATATCTGCTCTATCATTCAGAAATGCTTTTCATGGCAGAACCATGGGTAGGTGACTTTTTGGCTTCTTTTGCTCTTTATTTTTTAGTTATGTCCCTTTAAATAGCTGACTCTTTAACATTGTAACTTATCAATTTATATTTCAATGTTATATTTGATTTTTTAATAGCTCTAACCCTTTTAACAAATATTTACATGAGTACTATTTGTTATTATAGGTGCTCTTGCCTTGACTCATACAAAATGGAGTCACAAGTTAGATTTCCCTAGCCCAGATTGGCCGATCGCTCCCTTCCCACATTTGAAATACCCACTAGAAGAATTCGCCCAGGAGAACAGGAGGGAGGAAGATAGGTGTTTGGCTCAAGTAAATTCATTCAACATCTATTTTTAGCTTTTATCAATGTGAATTATAGATGGTTTTTTAGAACTACTAGAAGTAAAGTACATTCAAATTTTATTAGCGCATTTAGCATGTTTTTCTAAACACATTTATGGTCAGGTTTTTATGATTCAAATTGTCAAACTTATTAACCAACAAAGTTATGGTTCAAAAAGTCAAACTTTTATTAAGTGTAACAAAATTATGCTTCAATAAGTCAAACTGTTATTAAGCCCAACCAAAAGCATGAATATTAAACTTAAATAATTTTATAACAAAACAAATATCCTCTTTATACAGCCTTCTTATGTAGTGCTTATGATAATAAAAAAAAATTCACAGAAGCTTTTCATTGCATTTGTTTTTCTTGCCTCCTAGGTGGAAGAGCTTCTGAGTATTTACAAGAAGAAAGGCAACCCAGTGGCTTGTATAGTCATAGAACCAATTCAATGTGAAGGGGGAGATAACTTTGCCAGTCCACAATTCTTCCAGGGTCTGCAAGATATTTCTCAAAAGGTTAAAAAAAAATTTTGAGAAATTTTTTTTTCTTGATGATCTTTATTATTCAAAATGGATGACTATTAATTATAAATTGTAACCAATCATTGACAGAACGAGATCAGTTTTCTTATCGATGAGGTGCAGACTGGGGCGGGGACCACTGGCAAGTTTTGGGTGCATGAGTATTTTCACCTGCGCGACCCGCCGGACTTGGTGACTTTTGCTAAGAAAATGTTGACCGGAGGATTCTATTACAGAGACCATCTGAGACCCACAGAGGTACTGTGTCAGCCAGCGGGTTGTCTTTAGGGTAGAGGAAGTAGAGTTTTTCAGTTTTTTTTTTAAAAGCATTGTGGGATATCAGAATTTGAGAAGTGTTGAGCAAGTGGTATTCTATGGGGTAATCTGGGTAGTCCTACAGTATCAGGTGGAGGTGTTCTATGCGGTAACATGGGTAGTCTTACAGTATCAGGTGGGGGTGATCTATGGGGTAACATGGGTAGTCCTACAGTATCAGGCAGGGGGTGTTCTATGGGGTAGTCCTACAGTATCAGGTGGGGGTGTTCTATGGGGTAGTCCTACAGTATCAGGCAGGGGGTGTTCTATGGGGTAGTCCTACAGTATCAGGTGGGGGTGTTCTATGGGGTAGTCCTACAGTATCAGGTGGGGGTGTTCTATGGGGTAGTCCTACAGTATCAGGTGGGGGTGTTCTATGGGGTAGTCCTACAGTATCAGGTGGGGGTGTTCTATGGGGTAGTCCTACAGTATCAGGTGGGGGTGTTCTATGGGGTAGTCCTACAGTATCAGGTGGAGGTGTTCTATGCGGTAACATGGGTAGTCCTACAGTATCAGGTGGGGGTGTTCTATGGGGTAATCTGGGTAGTCCTACAGTATCAGGTGGGGGTGTTCTATGGGGTAACATGGGTAGTCCTACAGTATCAGGCAGGGGGTGTTCTATGGGGTAGTCCTACAGTATCAGGTGGGGGTGTTCTATGGGGTAGTCCTACAGTATCAGGTGGGGGTGTTCTATGGGGTAGTCCTACAGTATCAAGCAGGGGTGTTCTATGGGGTAGTCCTACAGTATCAGGTGGGGGTGTTCTATGGGGTAGTCCTACAGTATCAGGTGGGGGTGTTCTATGGGGTAGTCCTACAGTATCAAGCAGGGGTGTTCTATGGGGTAGTCCCACAGTATCAGGTGGGGGTGTTCTATGGGGTAATCTGGGTAGTCCTACAGTATCAGGTGGGGGTGTTCTATGGGGTAGTCCTACAGTATCAAGCAGGGGTGTTCTATGGGGTAGTCCTACAGTATCAGGTGGGGGTGTTCTATGGGGTAACATGGGTAGTCCTACAGTATCAAGTGGGGGTGTTCTATGGGGTAGTCCTACAGTATCAAGTGGGGGTGTTCTATGGGGTAGTCCTACAGTATCAGGTGGGGGTGTTCTATGGGGTAATCTGGGTAGTCCTACAGTATCAGGTGGGGGTGTTCTATGGGGTAGTCCTACAGTATCAGGTGGGGGTGTTCTATGGGGTAGTCCTACAGTATCAAGCAGGGGTGTTCTATGGGGTAGTCCTACAGTATCAGGTGGGGGTGTTCTATGGGGTAACATGGGTAGTCCTACAGTATCAGGCAGGGGGTGTTCTATGGGGTAGTCCTACAGTATCAGGTGGGGGTGTTCTATGGGGTAGTCCTACAGTATCAGGTGGGGGTGTTCTATGGGGTAGTCCTACAGTATCAGGTGGGGGTGTTCTATGGGGTAGTCCTACAGTATCAGGTGGGGGTGTTCTATGGGGTAGTCCTACAGTATCAGGTGGGGGTGTTCTATGGGGTAGTCCTACAGTATCAGGTGGGGGTATTCTATGGGGTAACATGGGTAGTCCTACAGTATCAGGTGGGGGTATTCTATGGGGTAACATGGGTAGTCCTACAGTATCAGGCAGGGGGTGTTCTATGGGGTAGTCCTACAGTATCAAGCAGGGGTGTTCTATGGGGTAGTCCTACAGTATCAGGTGGGGGTGTTCTATGGGGTAACATGGGTAGTCCTACAGTATCAAGTGGGGGTGTTCTATGGGGTAGTCCTACAGTATCAAGTGGGGGTGTTCTATGGGGTAGTCCTACAGTATCAGGTGGGGGTGTTCTATGGGGTAATCTGGGTAGTCCTACAGTATCAGGTGGGGGTGTTCTATGGGGTAGTCCTACAGTATCAGGTGGGGGTGTTCTATGGGGTAGTCCTACAGTATCAAGCAGGGGTGTTCTATGGGGTAGTCCTACAGTATCAGGTGGGGGTGTTCTATGGGGTAACATGGGTAGTCCTACAGTATCAGGCAGGGGGTGTTCTATGGGGTAGTCCTACAGTATCAGGTGGGGGTGTTCTATGGGGTAGTCCTACAGTATCAGGTGGGGGTGTTCTATGGGGTAGTCCTACAGTATCAGGTGGGGGTGTTCTATGGGGTAGTCCTACAGTATCAGGTGGGGGTGTTCTATGGGGTAGTCCTACAGTATCAGGTGGGGGTGTTCTATGGGGTAGTCCTACAGTATCAGGTGGGGGTATTCTATGGGGTAACATGGGTAGTCCTACAGTATCAGGTGGGGGTATTCTATGGGGTAACATGGGTAGTCCTACAGTATCAGGTGGGGGTGTTCTATGGGGTAGTCCTACAGTATCAGGTGGGGGTGTTCTATGGGGTAAACTAGGCAGACTTACATTTATAAAACAGGAGACTTCTGTAGGATAGATTCTGGAAAGTCTAACAGCATGAAAATAGGATAGCCTCAAAGGGTCTGAACAGGGATTTCTATTGGGTAATTTGATGGATGTTAAACTGGAAAGATTGGGTTGTCTACAAAGATTTGTTGATGTTGTATAGAATGGCTAAGTACACCCTATCTCAGGCAGAGATTTTAATTCTTGGTTACCAGTTGTATCCTATCTCTCAATCCTTGGTTACCAGTTGTATCCTATCTCTCAATCCTTGGTTACCAGTTGTATCCTATCTCTCAATCATTTCTGCTAAAATAGCAAACTAGCTTGCATAAAATTTAAAGCTAATACCTTTCTAAGACTTATTTAAAAAACCCATCAAACCCATTCAATTTGTCGTTAGGGTTATCTCATCTTCGCCCATCAAACCAATTCAATTTGTCTTTTGTGTTATCGTATCTTCGCGCATCAAACCCATTCAATTTATCTTTAGGGTTACTGTATCTTCGCCCATCAAACCAATTCAATTTATCTTTAGGGTTACCGTATCTTCGCTCATCAAACAATTTAATTTGTCTTTAGGCTTAGGGTTATCTCATCTTCTCCCATTCAATTTGACTTTAGGGTTATCTTATCTTCGCCCATCAAACCAATTCAATTTGTCTTTAGGGTTACCATATCTTAACCCATCAAACAATTTATCTTTAGGGTTACTGTATCTTCACCAACAAACAATTCAATTTGTCTTAAGGGTTATCTTATCTTCGCCCATCAAACCAATTCAATTTGTCTTTAGGGTTACCATATCTTCACCCATCAAACAATTTATCTTTAGGGTTACTGTATCTTCACCAACAAACAATTCAATTTGTCTTTAGGGTTATCTTATCTTCGCCCATCAAACCAATTCAATTTGTCTTTAGGGTTACCATATCTTCACCCATCAAACAATTTATCTTTAGGGTTACCGTATCTTCGCCCATCAAACAATTCAATTTGTCTTTAGGGTTACCATATCTTCACCCATCAAACAATTTATCTTTAGGGTTACTGTATCTTCACCAACAAACAATTCAATTTGTCTTTAGGGTTATCTTATCTTCGCCCATCAAACCAATTCAATTTGTCTTTAGGGTACCATATCTTCACCCATCAAACAATTTATCTTTAGGGTTACTGTATCTTCACCAACAAACAATTCAATTTGTCTTTAGGGTTATCTTATCTTCGCCCATCAAACCAATTCAATTTGTCTTTAGGGTTACCATATCTTCACCCATCAAACAATTTATCTTTAGGGTTACCGTATCTTCGCCCATCAAACAATTCAATTTGTCTTTAGGGTTACCATATCTTCACCCATCAAACAATTTATCTTTAGGGTTACTGTATCTTCACCAACAAACAATTCAATTTGTCTTTAGGGTTATCTTATCTTCGCCCATCAAACCAATTCAATTTGTCTTTAGGGTACCATATCTTCACCCATCAAACAATTTATCTTTAGGGTTACTGTATCTTCACCAACAAACAATTCAATTTGTCTTTAGGGTTATCTTATCTTCGCCCATCAAACCAATTCAATTTGTCTTTAGGGTTACCATATCTTCACCCATCAAACAATTTATCTTTAGGGTTACCGTATCTTCGCCCATCAAACCAATTCAATTTGTCTTAAGGGTTACCATATCTTCACCCATCAAACAATTTATCTTTAGGGTTACTGTATCTTCACCAACAAACAATTCAATTTGTCTTTAGGGTTATCTTATCTTCGCCCATCAAACCAATTCAATTTGTCTTTAGGGTTACCATATCTTCACCCATCAAACAATTTATCTTTAGGGTTACTGTATCTTCACCAACAAACAATTCAATTTGTCTTTAGGGTTATCTTATCTTCGCCCATCAAACCAATTCAATTTGTCTTTAGGGTTACCATATCTTCACCCATCAAACAATTTATCTTTAGGGTTACTGTATCTTCACCAACAAACAATTCAATTTGTCTTTAGGGTTACCATATCTTCACCCATCAAACAATTTATCTTTAGGGTTACCGTATCTTCAACACATGGCTTGGGGACCCCTCAAAAGTTGTCATGCTGAAGGAGGTGTTGAATGTCATCAGGGACGAGAAACTCTTGGATAGGACAACGGAAACTGGGAAATATTTTGTTGATAACTTGATGGCGGCGCAGGTAAAGTACAGGCAACTTCTGAAATTTTGTTGTAATCTGTGGATAGTTTTAAAGTTTTAAATTATCTTTGTGCATTGATGTTGGGTATTAGAGGACAATTACATAGAATAAATGCAGTTTGAAAATGGGAGCAGGATTTGATTTAACCTCTTACCAGTTAGATCAACATTCCCTGTATGTAACGGGAAAAAAGTTGTGTGTTCTATATGCCTTATACAAGGATTGTACAAACTAACTGTGCTGCAGGTTTAAAGCTACTGTGCAGCAATGCAAGTGTGCAGCTCAAAGGCAACATTGGTCAAGATGATAAGTGATTGTTTATGACCACTGATGACATTGCATTGTGATTCCTCCTCCTCCCCCCCTTTTTTTTTATTATCGGGGCATTATTTAATGATGCCTGACAGTTTTTTTCCTTATGTATTTGAAGACTTCACTAGTCTACTGCTAGAATTTCTGAACTTATGAATTTGTTGTTGAGAGGAAAAAGTTTATTTTAGACCTGATAGTTTTTTCCTTATGTATTTGGAGACTTCACCAGTCTACTGCTAGAATTTCTGAACTTATGAATTTGTTGTTGAGAGGAAAAAGTTTATTTTAGACCTGATAGTTTTTTCCTTATGTATTTGGAGACTTCACCAGTCTACTGCTAGAATTTCTGAACTTATGAATTTGTTGTTGAGAGGAAAAAGTTTTTTTTTAAACCTGATAGTTTTAGTTTTAGGGTAAATTAAGTAAAGTTTATCTTTTGTGAAGGGTTATGTGGTCAGCACTATGCCCAGGAACTTTTAATTTCACCAACTCAAGTCATCTTAAGTCTTGATCTAGGGATCAAAACACAAGACTTCAGGGTTTAGCAGTCATACTGCCCATTCTATGGGAAATGTGAGTTTATAAACTTTGACCACTTTTTATCTTGTGTTGTTTTATTCCAGACCAAATACCCCAAGCTGCTGTCTCGAGCAAGAGGCCTGGGTGCCATAGCAGCGGTCGACCTGCCTGATGCTGTAACCAGGGACAAGATCATTGCTAAAATGAGAGAACTTGGTAAGAAATGTTTTTTCTTTTTATTGAAGAGTTATTGCCCTTTGTTAATTTCCCTTTGGTTGTTTACTATCTGACCCAACTAATTCTATTACAAAAAAATAGTTTACAAAGTAGTTTAGACAAGTTAGACTTAATACAGAAAGGATTCATCCAAGCTAAATATTTGTATTTTAAATGCTGCCTTGTGACCGTAAAGATAATAATTTTCTACTTTATATGTTTTAGTATCCATGATATACATCTATATATATAATTCTCTTCTGTGGTTCACTCTAAATGTTTACAAACAGAGCCGGGTTAGTGACGACTATTAGGGGCAGATAATTTAGTTTGAAACGATTTTAAACGTAGGGGGGGGGGTAACTAAGTGGAGTTTACTTTAACGGAAGGGAGGGGGAAGGAGAAGGTTAACGTCCTTAATGAGCTACTTATAGTGTTTTAAAGAAATATTTTCAGTGTCAGCGTTGGTACTGTCGAATTCACAAATTAAGAATTACTGAAAAGTAGAAAAAACAACAACTAAATAGCGGCGTATGATATGCCGCGGGCCGGCTCGTATATTATAAAATAACAGTATCCATTACACATAATAGTAGGACATGTTTAAAAAAACAACTTAGATCTATATTTTATGATGTTAGGTGTTGACCTTGAAATATTTATATGTATGTGGTATTTATGTTTATATATTGATAGGTGTCACCATAAAAATATTTGTTTATATGTTCATAGTTGCCTATTCAAATATTTGTTTATATGTTGTTGGTTGCCCACTAAAAGATGTGTTTATATGTAAAGAGACACCCACTAAAATGTGTTTATATGTTGATTTATGTCCACTAAAGTATGTGTTTATATGTTGTTAGATGCCCATTAGAATATGTGTTTAAAAACATATGTTGATATATGTCCACTAAAATATGTGTTTATATGTTGATGTATGTCCACTTAAATATGTGTTTATATGTTGATATATGTCTACTAAAATATGTGTTTATATGTTGATATATGTCCACTAAAATATGTGTTTATATGTTGATATATGTCCACTAAAATATGTGTTTATATGTTGATATATGTCCACTAAAATATGTGTTTATATGTTTATATATGTCCACTAAAATATGTGTTTATATGTTGATATATGTCCACTAAAATATGTGTTTATATGTTGATATATGTCCACTAAAATATGTGTTTATATGTTGATATATGTCCACTAAAATATGTGTTTATATGTTGATATATGTCCACTAAAATATGAGTTTATATGTTGATATATGTCCACTAAAATATGTGTTTATATGTTGATATATGTCCACTAAAATATTTATTTATATGTTGATATATGTCCACTAAAATATGTGTTTATATGTTGATATATGTCCACTAAAATATGTGTTTATATGTTGATATATGTCCACTAAAATATGAGTTTATATGTTGATATATGTCCACTAAAATATGTGTTTATATGTTGATATATGTCCACTAAAATATTTATTTATATGTTGATATATGTCCACTAAAATATGTGTTTATATGTTGATATATGTCCACTAAAATATGTGTTTATATGTTGATATATGTCCACTAAAATATTTATTTATATACTGTTAGGTGTCCACCTTGGTTCTTGCGGCATCTCAACACTCAGAATCAGGCCAACCTTGACCCTTGAGAAGAAGCATGTTGACATCTTCACGGAGAAGTTCCACAAGGTGCTGGAGCAGATGTAAACAAACAGAGGTCACACAGCTTGTTGTTGTTGGATACAGACCAGTATTTGATGTGCTAACACATGTTGCTGTACATAGTACATTATATAGACAGATGGTTCAGTTTAACACTGGGAAATCCCACTAAAAAAAACATGGTTGTTGTGTTATTTTAACAATTGATTTGTGGGAAATCCCGTAAAATATTGTGCAAGTCTTATGCACCAACATTGTCTAACAGAGGAAAATCCCACTAAATAAGGTCCAATTTGTAGGGCTTGTCTCAAAATTGAAAATCTTTATAGCCAGGGATATTTACATTTTTAAGCTAAATTAGTTGTTGTGAACATGATTATCATTGATGACAAAAACCATGGCTGCAATTTTTTGGGGCCTCACTTCAAGATTTTAAAATACCAAAAGTATCCAAAATGCAACAGTTGTACATTTCTTTTACTACAAATAAAAATCAAATTAAGTACCTGAAGGCCTAGGCTTTTAATAATATTATTTTAAAATTGTAACTAAGTTTAGGACAACTTGTTACAGAATTGAATAAATAAAAACAAACTTCTTGAAAAAAATACAATATAACTTAGTCTGTATATCCTTTAAGCTAGTCTACATCTTGCAGCCAATTATCAGTGTTTTACAATTTTAAATGAACAATAGCATGAGTAACTTTTCTATTTGTTTATCTTTATTACAATTTCATAAATAATTCACATTTGGTTTGAAAAAAAATAACTGGCAAGTACAAAAATAAGTTGGTGACCTACTTACAAGCCCTATGATGGCCTAACATCATTAATTGAATTGTAGGAAACTCTAAAAAATTGTGCAAGTCTTCTGTACCAATATTGTCTAGCAGAGGGAAATCCCATTAAATAAGGTCCAAGCTATGTAGGCCTACAGTAATAATTAGTGGGAAATCCCACAAACTATTGTCCATTGTTCAAATGATTGTTTTTTTTAATACCTGGTGATTTATAAGTTGGTTGTGTTGGTAGACAACCAAGTTTATACTAACATTGATGTAAATGTAAACTCATTAAAAATTTTCCACCAATTCTACTACACCATTGGCAGACCAGAATCTGTCAATGTTAAATTGTAAATATTATTCCCGCTTAATTAAATGTTACAGCAAGTATCTAGTCACCCTTAACCTTTTTGTTATGTAACCAGAAAAAAAGTAGTTGTATACGTGTTGAACTGCTAAGCTCAACCATATTTCAGCTCGCTTTATATATTTAGTCAGTACTTGAATCTTTTTTTAAACTACTGTTTACAATTTTCATACATATTTGCACTTGTATATTGTATACAAAATATTTATAAGTGAATAAAGTTAAATAAGAACTTTGATCTCTTATCATACTTTTATTGTCTATTGAAGGCTGTTTGTTCTTTATAAGGGAAAACAGTAAATTAGATATATTGGTATCAACCATATCTACTGGCTGTTTAACATCAACAGTACACTAATAAGGGAAGGTGTGGTAAAAACTATTAGACATGCAGAGGCGTAGCGAGGGCGGGCCATATGTCCCCGTGCGCCGACCTTAGGGGGCCCCAAAATGGGTTGGAAAAACAAATTTAAAGTTTGAGGGGGGGGGGGGTGTAAATCGAAAGTTTAAGGGGGATGCCAATCGAAAGTTTGTCCCCGGGCGTCGGGAAGGGTCGCTACGCCTCTGGAGACATGGAATGGTGAAATGATGGTGTCAATGGTGTCAGGAATATTTTGAATGATGTGATGAATAAATAATATATTGATTAGTTTGATAAATATATTGAATGGTGCGATGAATATATTGAATGGCGTGATGAATATATTGAACGGTGTGATGAATATATTGAATGGTGTGATGAATATATTGAATGGTGTGATGAATATATTGAATGGTGTGATGAATATATTGAATGGTGTGATGAATATATTGAATGGTGTGATGAATATATTGAATAGTTTGATAAATAAATTGAAAGGTGTGATTAATTAATTGAATGGTGTGATGAATATATTGAATGATATGATACATACATTCACTGGTACTTCTAAAGCTAAGTGGCGTAGCGAGGTCGGGTGTCACCCGGTGCGGCACTTAATGGTGTCACCCCCCCCCCCCCCCCAGGGCATAGAGACCCTTCCCAGGGACAAACTTTAAAATTTCCGATTTGCACCCCCCCCCCCCTAAAACTTTCGATTTGCACCCCCCCTCAAGTTTTCGATTTGCACACCCCCCCTCCCCTCAAACTTTCGATTTGCACCCCCCTCGAGTTTTTCTCTATATATTTTGCTATTTTTTGCCTTGGTGTCACCCCCCTAAATGGTGTCACCCGGTGCGGTCCGCAACCCCCGCCCCCCCCCCTCGCTACGCCCCTGGGCAATAGTATCCCAAAATATTCGTCAGTCTGAAAGTTCGTAGCTACTATGTATGGGTTTTAAAAAAATCAGCGTCATTGAATATAATTTGCTGAGCATAAGCTACACAGTACAGTACCATTTCAGATTATGATCTATTGTTTCAATGAAGTAGAGTTCATTTGTTTTTTTATCTTGCAATATGGTGAGATAGATCTAGCTCTAATCAGTGGCGAACTAGAAAAAAAATGGCCACCCCGCAAAAATGTATGTTAGGCCCCCTCATATATATATATATATATATATATATATATATATATATATATATATATATATATATATATATATATATATATATATATATACATATATATATATATATATATATATATATATCTATATATATAAAGCAAAGTGGTCAAGTGCCCGATAGGGCACTTCCCGGCGCCGCAGGCGCGTCAAATTTGGCACGATGGTGCCTTCGGGCAATAGAACACGAAGGCCGGTGACGGTTGGCCGAAAAGTCTACGGAGAAGGGGTCAAAACTGACCTCGACTGACCGGCGCCTTATATGGGCTATATTACGAAAAAAAATTTCCTCCGACGACCCCCCTTGAAATTTTGTGAGGTGGTAGGAGAACACCTTGGGGTGTCACAAAAAACTCGCCATGTCCGGGAAAAATCGGGAAATGGGTCAAAACTGACCAGTCGTATTTCCCTATATAATCTTTGTATTTTATGGGAAAAACAGAGGGTCATTTCAAAACGGATTTTAGGGCACTTACCCTGTTTACATCTGGCTAATTTTTGGCATGTTTATAGGTAAATGGCTTGACCGTAGGGCAGACCTGTCGGTCTTACTCAAAGCCCTCGACGAGGGCTAAAAAGTGACCGCGAGTGAAATTTTCTTTATATGAGCTCTATTACGAAAAAAAATTTCCTCCGACGACCCCCCTTGATATTTTGTGAGGTGGTAGGAGAACGCCTTGGGGTGTCACAAAAAACTCGCCATGTCCGGGAAAAATCGGGAAATGGGTCAAAACTGACCAGTCGTATTTCCCTATATAATGTTTGTATTTTATGGGAAAAACGGAGGGTCATTTCAAAACGGATTTTAGGGCACTTACCCTCTTTACATCTGGCTAATTTTTGGCATGTTTATAGGAAAATGGCTTGACCGTAGGGCAGACCTGTCGGTCTCACTCAAAGCCCTCGACGAGGGCTAAAAAGTGACCGCGAGTGAAATTCTCTTTATATGAGCTCTATTACGAAAAAAAATTTCCTCCGACGACCCCCCTTGATATTTTGTGAGGTGGTAGGAGAACGCCTTAGGGTGTCACAAAAAACTCGGCATATCTGGGAAAACTTCGTAAAGGGGTCAAAACTGACCAGTTGTATTTCCCTATATAATCTTTGTATTTTATGGGAAAAACAGAGGGTCATTTCAACGCAGACTTTAGGGTACTTAATCTCAGTATATCTGGCTAATTTTTTGCATGCTCCTAGGTCAATGGCTTGACCTTTAGGGAAAACTGTCGGTTACACTCAAAGCCCTCGAAGAGGGCTAAAAAGTGACCGCGAGTGAAATTCTCTTTATATGAGCTCTATTACGAAAAAAATTTTCCTCCGACGACCCCCCTTGATATTTTGTGAGGTGGTAGAAGAACACCTAGGAGTGTCACAAAAAACTCGGCATATCTGGGAAAACTTCGGAAAGCGGTCAAAACTGACCAGTTGTATTTCCCTATATAATCTTTGTATTTTATGGGAAAAACAGAGGGTCATTTCAACGCAGACTTTAGGGTACTTAAGCTCAGTATATCTGGCTAATTTTTTGCATGCTCCTAGGTCAATGGCTTGACCTTTAGGGAAAACTGTCGGTTACACTCAAAGCCCTCGAAGAGGGCTAAAAAGTGACCGCGAGTGAAATTCTCTTTATATGAGCTCTATTACGAAAAATTTTTTCCTCCGACGACCCCCCTTGATATTTTGTGAGGTGGTAGGAGAACGCCTTAGGGTGTCACAAAAAACTCGGCATATCTGGGAAAACTTCGTAAAGGGGTCAAAACTGACCAGTTGTATTTCCCTATATAATCTTTGTATTTTATGGGAAAAACAGAGGGTCATTTCAACGCAGACTTTAGGGTACTTAATCTCAGTATATCTGGCTAATTTTTTGCATGCTCCTAGGTCAATGGCTTGACCTTTAGGGAAAACTGTCGGTTACACTCAAAGCCCTCGAAGAGGGCTAAAAAGTGACCGCGAGTGAAATTCTCTTTATATGAGCTCTATTACGAAAAATTTTTTCCTCCGACGACCCCCCTTGATATTTTGTGAGGTGGTAGAAGAACACCTAGGAGTGTCACAAAAAACTCGGCATATCTGGGAAAACTTCGGAAAGCGGTCAAAACTGACCAGTTGTATTTCCCTATATAATCTTTGTATTTTATGGGAAAAACAGAGGGTCATTTCAACGCAGACTTTAGGGTACTTAAGCTCAGTATATCTGGCTAATTTTTTGCATGCTCCTAGGTCAATGGCTTGACCTTTAGGGAAAACTGTCGGTTACACTCAAAGCCCTCGAAGAGGGCTAAAAAGTGACCGCGAGTGAAATTCTCTTTATATGAGCTCTATTACGAAAAAAATTTTCCTCCGACGACCCCCCTTGATATTTTGTGAGGTGGTAGAAGAACACCTAGGAGTGTCACAAAAAACTCGGCATATCTGGGAAAACTTCGGAAAGCGGTCAAAACTGACCAGTTGTATTTCCCTATATAATCTTTGTATTTTATGGGAAAAACAGAGGGTCATTTCAACGCAGACTTTAGGGTACTTAAGCTCAGTATATCTGGCTAATTTTTTGCATGCTCCTAGGTCAATGGCTTGACCTTTAGGGAAAACTGTCGGTTACACTCAAAGCCCTCGACGAGGGCTAAAAAGTGACCGCGAGTGAAATTCTCTTTATATGAGCTCTATTACGAAAAAAAATTTCCTCCGACGACCCCCCTTGATATTTTGTGAGGTGGTAGAAGAACACCTAGGGGTTTAATAAAAAACTCGGCATATCTGGGAAAACTTCGTAAAGCGGTCAAAACTGACCAGTTGTATTTCCCTATATAATCTTTGTATTTTATGGGAAAAACAGGGAAATTTTAACACAATTTTTAGGTTACTTAATGTCTGTACATCATGCTAAGTTTTTGCATACACTACTATAGATGACTAGGCCGTATGGAAAAACTGTTGGTCAGACTCAAAGCCCTCGACGAGGGCTAAAAGATGATCTTGAGTGAAATTCTCCTTATATGAGATATATATATATATATATATATATAAATAAATTGACGAACGATCCCCTTAATATTATGTGACGTCGTAGACCGACCATGGAGGGTAACAAAAAAACTTTATTCCCGTCGGAAACAGCCATTATAGTCGTTAAATAAGTTCATATAACGTAATTTCTTATATAAGCAAACAATATAAGTAAACAATGACATACGTCATACGTTCAGTTTTCAAGGGAGGTAACGTTTTTAAAATTATTATTTTTCAAATAATTGTATACTATTTTAAACAGAAACAGAAAATGACGAAGTATAGCATTTGTTTTAGTACAAAATTAAGTTGTTAATTTAGTTAAGTATGTTAATTAAATTAATTAATTAATTTCAAAAGGCAATGTAATATAAACTATGAGATATACTGTTCATGAAACCTGTGTAGTTCTAATTCCATTTTAGTTATACATTGCGTACTTTCCAAAAATTCGCTACGAATCTGCATGTAAATGACTAACAAAAACTTTTTTTCTAAAGTTAGCATTACTGTTTAAATTAAACTTATTAAACTTATTAAAGCACTCCACACCCAATCCATCGCTAAATAATTAAGTATTCAAATTCTCAAATGTTTTTTAAAAACCTAAGCGAAGCTAGGCAGTATGCCTAGTATATATATATATATATATATATATATATATATATATATATATATAT